AACGCCTGTGCATTGAGACATTTATGGGGACAGTGAACCGTTTTTGTTTGCTTTCTTGTTGAGACTTAGACGAGAAGATCAATACCTGATTGATATAGGAAATGGTTAGCATAGCATAGCATAGCATAAATACTGGGAACATCTGGAAAAGTTCCCTCTCCCTCCGTTCAAAGGTTATGAAAATGCATATTGCAGAACTTCTAATTTCAATAATGAACACGCCATTCTTTATTTATTTACTCCGTACAAAGCGTAAAGTGTAAAACTGTGGGTGCTTACCAGTGGGCCGCGTGCAGTCAGCTTCATTGACAGGCGGTCACGAGAGGAGAAATCGATGGTAAATTACAAGCTGTGGTTACTTTCTACGCAGGACTTAATGTCATCTTGAGTAAATGACGGTTTAGCAGTCAGATCTGTAAGTATCTACTATCTCACAGCCCTCGTCCTTAGCCTATGGTAGGTGACCACATAGATTTATCCTCTGATAATCAACATTCAGACTAGTCCGGACAAGCTTGGCTCAGCATCGTGCTGGAACTGCAGCAGTGCTGAGTTGTTGTTTTCCCGGTGCAGACAAATGTCCTTTTGCTGCTGCCGCCCTTCCTGTTGCCTGCACAAATATATTCCTTATATGCCTTTTGGCAAAGGAGCATGCAGGTAGCCGAGTTGTGATTAAGCCCGTCTCTGCGTTACATCCTTTCACACATACATACATACATCCTTTCATACATATCTGGCTGAGTGTGAATTGTTTTCGATGATCGTTCGTCCGGCCACCTGCCAACTCCGCTTCCTTCACCGAGGGTCCGAGCTGCGTGTGCTACTTCAAACGCTTCTCCTTCGAAGGTTCTCAACTCAATAAAGCATACTTCCTTTGCTTAAGCTTTGTTATGCTTAATTCATGGATAAATGCATCTTATTTCCATAGCGAGTCAGCAGAGAAGCGTGAAAGTAAAACTGTATTGAGTAATTTAATTAATGAACCGGCTGGTAGCGAGTCGCCTGCGCTGATGATGTGATCTTTTTCTCTACTTCCCCCCTACACCTCCGGCTAACAGGGCACAAGCTCGGCCTGGACGTCTCTCCTCTCTGCCCGTGCCCTCTTGTGTACACGGCTTGGATATTCAATATTCTGTGCTGGGTTTCCCACTAGCACACACATCTTTAATATTCTGCATATTTGCAAGAATGGTTGAGGGGAGCACTCGAAACTGGAGGCAAAAACATATTTTGCACTACGGCTCTGAGAGTAGGTGCAGGTCCTGCTGATCCGTAAAACAAGTCTTGAAAACTGTTACTTTTTTATTTCGACGCAGAGCAGTGGAAAAAGCTGTTAACACAAGAATTTCATCACCTTATAAGTGGATGTAGTGAGGTTGTTAAAGAAAAGCTTTTTCACGCATCCAGCACTTAAAGAGCAGCTTTAGGATTCATTCTTAATTGAAGTTTGTTGCAACAAATATAGTGAACTCTCTTTTTTTCCCCCCACCAACCTGTTGTCTGCTCAGGCAGCTGGCAATAGCATATACTGAGTTTTGCATCTCAAACGGTCCTGATGAGAGTGGTAGGAGTCAAAAGCTCATCTTAGCGGTTAGCCTGGCTTTGTGCAAGTGTAACAAAATCAATGAGGCACGACACACAATTGGGTGGTTTTATGTAGGGACTTTTTTTTTATATATATAAATCTTTTCTTCAAACTCTGTACTGAAAAGCAAAGAAGTCCCCAAATATTTTTGACTATTTACTCCAGCCTAAAGCAAATTAATTGCGGCTCTGTGGAGCGTATGTTCAGTGTTCTTGCGGTTGGCCGTCTCACAGCAAATGGATCTCCTCCGTCAGATTAATGATATGCTGACCTCCGGCCTGCAACCCCGGCAAAAAGCCGAGTTCCCTCTTGGATACACATTGTACTCTGTTGGAGAACATCAACCCTGTGATGTTCAGTGCATCCCGGTGGTTATTTCATGTTGAAGTGATCCACTGCTTGCTCTCCCTGTACTGCAGTTAGCCGTTTCTAGGGGAATCCCTGAGGACAAGCTGAATTGAACTGTTGTGTTCGAAGGTCAGCGTGTAGGTTGAATGTGTAGGCGGAGACCCGGATCGAGTGTTTTTTCTATTCACATGTTCCTGCGCTCCGAGAGCAACGTGAATGGTAAGGCAGGGTCATGACAACATGTCGGTTTCTATCAGATGGGCTTCACTATTGTGACAGCATCCCCCTTATCAGCTCGTTGGGCCTTTGTTCCACGTATTTTGAGGCAGTAGTGCAGAAGTTTCAGAACTTAAATGACCTGTGTTCAGTCGCTCCTCGTTTCCTCAAACAGCAGACGCACCAGAGGCCCACTATGATCCAAAGGCCCACTATGATTTGCTTTCTACCCTTAGGCTCCGTTGGGGAGGCGTCACGTCTGTCATTTCCCCACCTTCACGCGGTTTCAGTCACGCTGCGTTGATGTGTTCAAGGAGCTGCTGAAAAGACTTAAGTTAAAAGAAACATTTC